TTTCCCTCACGTCCGTGACCATGACCTGAAGGACCTTGTCCTTCTCCAGAGACTCTGTCTGTGACCCTGTCCCTGCTCCTCTCAGTCCCCCTGAGGGGGTGGGGTGTCTTTTATCTCCTTTTAACACCTTTCTCACCCTCTCCCTCCTTCAGCAGATGGTAAGGGCCCCGTGAGACCCATGAGCTACAGGAGAGGGACACCTTCCCTCCTGAGGCCACCACAGGGCTTGGCTGGGCTGAGAGGGAGGGTGCACCACCCACTCCTGAGGGAGGAGAAAGGGTCTGTGTTAAAGGGACTGTCATGCTCATGCCCCAGGTGTGTTTTGTGAGGGGTGAGGTCCCCTGAGGCCACACTTTATTCCCTCTGCCTGTGACCTGGAGCCCACAGTGGGGAGGGGACCCAGTGTCTCCCTTACCTGTCACCACCAGGAGCAGGGGGTCACTCCGCTCTGAGAGTATGTTCCCAGTGGTGTAATATGCACACTGGTACAGGCCTGGGTTGTGTGAAGTAGTGGCTCCAATGAGGAAACTGGCCTTGTTGCTGGAGTCCTGTGGGATCCTTGTATCCAAGGGCTCAGAGCCGCTCTCTTGATACAGAAGGTAGGCACTAGCCTGCAGAGACCCCTGACACCAGATGGTCACAGGGCTCCCGTTGGTGACAATGGGACCCGGGTCAGCCCAGATGGAGGGTTTGGGGACATCTCCTGGAAAGGAATCAGACATTAAAGGTCCCGGGGAGTGCTTAGCCCCTCATGATGTCATGAATGAGGAAAGGATGCCATTTATTGAGCACCTACTTTGTGTGAGGCACATGCTGGGGTCTGTCACTCATCTCCTCTCACCTCACAGCAGTCATGCACCAGGGATTGCTCACCCCTCCACCCACTTCACTGAGGCTCAGAGAGATTTATCATGTGCCCCATGTCACCCAGCCTTGATGGGGCCGGTCTGGGACTGGGACCCAGGACTGCGGATTTCCTGTGCTATTCTCACATTGCCCTCGCCCCGACCCCCCAGGAGGATACCAGCTTCATGCTCTGGGCTCCTCCTCTGCAGGGGCCTGTCCACATCTCATCTGGAGCTGAGGGTCCTTCCTCATTATCCGCCCCCAACACAGCAGGGACAGCTGGGGGCTGGGTGAAGGGCAGAGTGAGGGGTGGACTCTGAGTCTCTTCTGGATCCATCCCCACCCACAGGGCCCTGGTGCCCCCTTGGGTAGGAGCTTGGGCTTCTCCTCCCATAAACCCCCTTCTCCTGTCCTGGCACCCAGGACTCACTGTCTCTCTCTGTGTCTTTGACCCAGTGGCCCCTGTACTTTCCCCCTCACCCACTCACAGGGGGGTCTCCTCCCAGCAAAGATGCCAATAATGTCTCTGGAGCCTAAATCCATGGATGGGGCAATATGGGACTCACTTGGTACCAGCAGCTCCAGGATTTCACTGGGTTGTGACCACACCTGTGGTCTGTTCCTGTAGCAGCCATAGCATCTGAACCTCCACCTGTGGCTGGGGGTCACGGGGCCCACAGGGAACATGGCCTGGGACTGCCCACTGTGCTGTGTCTGTGAGTCCAGGGCCCAGGAGAGCCTGTGATCTCCTTCCTTAGTCAGAATGAACCTGTCAAATCCCTGCCCTGAGCCACACTGGAGGGTCACGTTCCCTCCTGAGGTCAAGACAGGGCTGGGCAGGGCTGAGAGGCTGGGTTTGCTGTGGGCTCCTAGGAGAGGAGGAGGCTGCATGTTAAATGGGCTCACACCTCCCTCATGTTCCCAGGGCAGGGCTCTGAGAAGGAGACACCCTGAGAGCAGACCCCCTTCCTGAGGGCAGAGCCTGAGGCTGGGACCCCTGAGTGTCCTCTCACCTGTCACCACCAGCTCCAGGGGGTCACTGCTCTCTGACCAGCCCGAAGGACTGTAATAGTAACAGTGATATATCCCTGCATCACGCTCTGTCATGTATGAGATGGAGAAATTGGCCTTGTCTCCAGGTTCCTGTGGCTTCTCTCTTTTCCATGGTGCTGGGCTTCCCGCTTTATACAGATAGAACTCTTGGCCCTTCAGGGTCCCCTGACACCAGATGGTCATGGGGTTCCCCGAGGGTATCACAGGGTCTGGCTCAGCCCAGACAGTAGGTTTGGGGAGGGGCCCTGGAAGGAAACCAGAGGCTGGCTTAGAAGGCATTACTCACCCCCACATTTCTAAGATGCCCCACATCCATTAACCTAGAACCACTGTTCTCCATCCCCAGATGCACAGGTTGTAACCCCTTGTCCCCAGTGAGAGGAACCTGGGAATCCTGGGGAGACTCACCTGCCTGCACTGGGGTCCTGAGGTCCACACTCAGCCCTGGAAGAGAGTCCCTGTGAGAGATTTGCCCTGAACCCTGAGCAGCACCCTCCTCCCATGAAGCTCCTGGGTCCGGGGGTCCTGACAGACCAGGGTCCCCTCCCCCTTCCCATCTCACCGAGGCAGAGCAGGGCCGTGACGGTGGGGGTCATGGCGTCTTCTCCCGGAGGCCTCAGCTGAACAGATGGAGGAGGCCACGGTGGTAGTAGGGTGGACAGACAGACGCACGGGTGGTGGTCAGTTGGAGGCTGGCCCTGCCTGTCATAGGGTTGTCATGCCACTTGCCTACAGGCAAGGGCACAGCCTCTCTCTAGCAGCCTGGCTCTCATTTTCATGGGGAAGCAGGAAATAGACCCAGAGCCTTTCTCCTGAGATGCCGCTTGCAGGTGAGGTGACCCAGGGCACGTCCTTCCCTGTTAGAGCCTCCCCACGGGGTGCTCCTCCCTCCTCAGCCCATCCATCAGCACCTCCCTGTGGTCCTCACCATGGACAGTGCCACCGGGGCCTGGAGACACTTCAGGAAGACGCGGGTCCCTGTGGCCTGCAGAGCTCAGATCAGCAGAGACACACTCACCCTCTCACTGCACAGCTCAGGGCGATGTCCCTGTGATAGTGAGCACTGAGTGGAAACACAGAAGAAATACAGGAAGGAAACAGGTCCCTTCTATGGCCCCAGATTATAGCTTTCTCTCTATCACACCCCCTACAAGGACTTCTCCTTTTTCTTGCAATGGCATCCACCCCAGTTTCCTGGAAATAAGGTATGGCTCATTCCTGCCTCCACAGTGATCCTTGTTCCTTAAGCAGAGCTGTCCCCTCATCCTGTCCTCCTCTCTTCAGCTTTTGGGCTCAATAAGGGGTCCAGTGCTCTGATGTTGGGGACAAAGCTCATATTTAAATATTTCACTATCATTCCTGGTCTGCGTAACCTTGAACAGTACTAGCCAATGTGTGCACTTCGGATTCCTGGTGTGAAGCACGTAGGCATAAAGCCAAATTCTCAGAGTGTTATAGGATCGGTGGTGTCTGGGAAGTGGGAGGGATCAGTCCTTGATAATTTGCAGACCTGGTTACACATAAGAGGATCAATGTGTCTCACTTCACAGTCAAATGAGGGATGGGTGTGTCCACTCAAGAGCCCTCATCTGTTCCTACTACTGAGAAATAATATTTCTAAAAGATGCAGCCACAGTCAACACAGCAGAAGAGAAATGAGAGTTCCCCAAACAGAGGGGGAACCACAACAAATAAAATGGATCAAAGCGAGAGGCCACTGGTGACCATAAGTGGTCCTCTATGAGAAGTTCTCCACCTCCGTGTGGACAGGAGAGGGACAACAGGGTTGTCAAAAGCAGGGAGGGAATCAGGCAGAAGGTGATAGGTGGGTTGCCCCATTTCTCATGCTTGAGGATGAGCATTGAGGCATCTCTATGCACTGACCTAGCCAGGATCAGCACTGAACCCTGTGTGTGTGTGTGAGTGCATGTGTGTGTGTGTGAGTGCATGTGTGTGTGTGTATGTGTGTGTGTGTAACAAGTTCAATCCAGCCTAGTCCAACAGGAGCGTCTGTCCAGGTGTGAGTGTGAGGCTCACATTGCAGCCATCCCTGCTGGGCACATCACAGTCAAAAGCTGAGTTTGGGAGAGTGGATGCTACAACTCTCCATCCCCTTCAGATTCCAACATCAGGTGAGCCCTGGGAGTAACTCTCTATGGAGAATCAGGTGTGAGCATCTACAAGGAATAGATGTCAACAAGTACTCTAATTATGAAAAATAATCCCAAGAAAGGCTGCCTCCAGACTCTTTAATGCAGGTAATCATATATGAGACAACGGAAGACTAGGAATATAAGAAATGCATTTTAATCAAAGATTGTTGAAATGTCAGAGACAATGAAGCCTTGGTCTTCACCCCCAGGTCAGGGCAGGAAAATTGAATTATTGGAACAACCCCAGGGCTTATATGATAAAAGTGTAGAGAATTTTGGAAAAGCATTACTTAAACAATATAGTGGTAAAATGGAATAAAAATACAAACGTGATTTGATTTAACACTCTCAAATATTTTGTTTTCACCCAGGAGAAGATACAGCTGAAGATACAATAACAAAATTGGAAGACAACATTGAGGAAATTTTGTAGAATACAAGACAGAGAGCCTGGAATTGAAAACTTTACATGCATGAGAATAGAGACATCTGGTCAAGATGGTTGTGTAAGTAAGCATGATAATTGGAACCTCCCACAACCACATCAAATTACAAGTAAACTACAGAACATCCACCATTCAGAACTGCCTGAAATGGAGCCCAACAGAAGTTTTATAACCGAGTATACACAGAAGCCACATAGAGACTGATAGACACGTGGGGAGGAAAATGGGGTGGTCCCATACCCATGTGTGGTAGTTAAACACTGGGGCGGGGGGCGGGGATACTTGGTTGTGAAGATCCTCCCTCAGTTGTGAGGGGTCCCAGAACCCCCAGCCCAGGGTTACAGTGCTGGGAAGAGAAATCCCCATAACTTTTGGTTGTAAAAACCTGTGATGATTGTGGTTGAGTGAGACAGAGGATTTCTGGAGTCCCAGCTGTTCCTCCTTAAAGGGCCTGTGAACACATTTA